TTGTCTTAGTTAGTGTGATTTACATTTAATGTGATTATTTCTGTCATTTGGTTAATGCGTTTTGCGGGATTCAAACGTTATTTGTTTTGCTCGTTATGTTGAGGAATCATGTTTATGTTGGCATGGACAGTAAGCCCTGCCTCAGTGTTTGCTGGTGTGTGTTGAGGCTCTCGTTGGCACTAAAACGCAGTGCAGAGCCGCTGACCTGGCATAGCATTAGCATAAATCATTCTGAGCCTTCCTAACCGCCATTGTCACCACCTGGTGGCTCCTTGTTCAGGCAGGTGGGCATGACAAACATTACTGTCCTCCATTTAGAAAAGGGATCTTTATTTAACACCACACACACAGCCAAAGCCAGAGGAAGTTTTTATGCAACTTTTTTATGCTGTGTCATCATAAAATTATACTAGGCATAATATAACTAACACAATATTTAATACAAATTATTTTTATTTTTAGTGATAACCTACAGTATATATACAGTTGAAGACAAAATGATTAGCTCCTGTGGAATTATTTTTCAAATATTTTAATCCTATTTTATTTTTCACAATATTTCCAATATTTATATTATGTTTTTCCTTTGGAGAAAGTCAGATTTCTTTTAGTTTGGATAGAATACAAATAAATGTTTGCTAAGGTCAATACTTTTAGCCCCACTTAAGATTTATTTATTTATTTATTTTTTATTTTTTGACTGTCTGCAGAAGTAACCACTATATGGTTGACTTACCTAATGAACCACACTTTACCTTTATTTAAGTCTTTAAATTGCTCTTTAAGCTGAATGTGAATATCTTGCAAAATAATTAGTAAAATATTATTGTGCTGTCATCATGGCAAAGACAAAGGAAATGTGTGCAACACTTTATAATATCTACACACTATGAATCATCTATTAAACATTAGTAAACAGTGTACAATTTGTACAGCAATAACTCTACATTAATAGACTTCAGTAAACAGTTTATAACTATGGGAAAAAATGCTCTATTCTTGACTTATAAGCACATTTTAAATGTGCTTAATAGTTGTGGTTTCATACTTTGTTACTGATTATTTTTTCATACAAATTATTAACCATCGCAATATTTACAAATAATTTGTGTTTAAGAGTGTTTGTGGGTTTTTAAGATCATTCAGAATGAGTTAGTAAATGATTAATAAACTACTCAAATCAACATTCATATTTTATTATTCAGGCATATATTAATAGTTAATTTGTATGATAATAAATGCTTTATTAACTCAACTTCATCCAGTCTTAATCTTTTCAATCTTATCTAAAAAGTAAATTACTGTGTAGTTTAAATATTGCTGAGTAACAAAATACAACATAAAAATTGGATAAAACAACAATATATAAATGTAACAATAAATTATGACACAACATTTCAATGTTATTTAGCCTTGTTTAAACTGTGCAATTTTCTTTTAGTAAAGAATGCAAAGATTAATTTTTCCTATGAAACAGTTTCATTTGTGTATCTTCAAATAAATATACATTAATAAAGTCGTTTATTTTCTTTTTTCCTGTTTAGAATTTAACTGAGCCTTTAATTGTCATTTATAAGGGATTTATAAAGCATGAATAGTTCTCACTAGATTAGGTCACTAAACTGAATGAAGTTAACAAAGCATTTATTGACATACTGTACAAATTTAATATTATGAATAATAAGAAATATACGTAAACGTTCATTTGAATAGTTTATTAATCATTTATTTGCGCATTCTGAATAATCTTCAAAAACCAGCAACTTCTCTCAAATAACTCGTTTGTAAATTATACATTAGTTAATTTAGTAATGAAAAACATAGCAATTAGCACAATGCATATGCTTTTAAGTCAAGAATAGAGCATTTGTATCTGCAGTTGTATCAACTTAAATATTTTATGTTTGTTCGATCCAATAAAATTTGCAAAAAGTAATGTTATCTCAATTTCTTCATATTGTCCCTACACAAATCGATTGTTTGGAACCCAGCATTTTTTTACAGTATTTCCTAAAAGAAATTTGAAACAACCTGAACTTCTCCAAAAGTCTTATATGCACAAACCTACGATTTGTAATGAATTTGCAAAGTGCAACTCAGTGTTTTACATTGGCTGCGTGTGAACTATAACTTTAAGTCTTTTAATTTCAACCCATACTTCTATACACAAACCCACACTTCATCCATCTCCTTTAGTCACGTACTTTATTTTCTTGGACTGATGAAGTATTATAGGCTGCCAGTGCTTCCAGTCTCCTTTATTACTTCTTCTGTTATGGTCATTTATACGCAGTCATTCTAAGTCTGCATATAAGTCCAGCAATGCGGTATAATTTACGAGATCCCTCTCAGAGTCCAGCACTGCAGTCCAATTTGACTTCCTTGCCAATGCTGCCTTTCCAGTTGGATATTCAATCGTGATCAGTAGTGAAGGCCAGGGTTGGTTAAATCGCTGACCATGACAATCTTTTTTGCAAATCAGTGCAAAACATCAGTGCCAACGGACAATGAAGGAGCAAGCGAGAGACTGAGGTGTTTACTCATTGTTTACAATGATTTGAGTCTTGGCTGCTACATAGGAGTGTTGTTGTTAATTTAATTGTTGATACTTTTTGCCAACCACACAATATCTAGATAGAACACCAGTGAAAAAAATATTTTAGGAAACAAAAAGTTTCCTTCAAGACTTCTATGACTAAATGCCATGATAAATGAAAATATATTCAAGTTACATATAACATACACGTTTACATTTGGATTTCACCCATTTAAATTATTTTTATACATAAATGCAAAATATATTTAAAAATGCATTTAAATCAAAATTTTTTTAAACTATTGGAATTACAAATATGCAAATACATGTTAAAATATTATATATATATTTGAACATATGTAGGCCTATAAAAATGAATATGTAAATGACAGTGTTGCAGTAAAAGACAGTCTTGCAGTCTTATGCAAAAGTTGGCCACCCCTGATAATTTTTCTAATTGTAAGCCATAACATTTCAAGCAACATTTGAAGTTCTGACATAACATTTATTTAATCAACAGATGCAAAATTTTTGTCATTACAAAAACGGACTGATACAAAAATTTGGGCACCCCAACAGAATAATGATATCTTTAATGATATATCTTCCGTACAGCCACCTTTTGCTTAAATAAGAGCCTGTGGATGATTCTTATGGTCAAATGATAAGTCCTTGAATTTTTGCTGAAGGCGTTTTGAGCCATTCTTCCTTGCAAAAAAATTCCCTTTTCAAATTAACTCATCAATTTACGATGATGTTCAAGTCTGGGAACTGGACTGGCCATTCTAGAACATTGTATCATGTCTCAGGATGAATTACTTGGTAGATTTGGAGCTGTGTTTTGGGTCAGTGTCTTGCTGAAACTTATAACTCTGTAGTAACTGGATTTCTAAACATTGTTCTGTAGAATCTGCTTTGTGGAATCCATGCGACCCTTAACTTTGACTAGATTTTTATGCTTGTGCTTGCCACACATACGCATAGCATGATGGACCCTCTACCATAATTTACAATAGGAGGTGTGTTCTCCTGGAATGATGTATTCTTTTTCCGAATTCTTTTTGGCATCTGTGCACAGTATACTTTTCTAAAATGATTCAGGCTTGTCCAGATGAGCTTACTTCAAATGACTCTTCTTGTTGGCAGAAGGCAGAAAAGGCTTATTTTGCATCACCTTCTATTGAGCTGTTCTTTGTGAAGAGTGTGCTGTACTGTGGAATGATGTACAATGACATTATCAGCAGCAAGATGTTTCTGAAACTCTTTTGAGGTGGCCTGTGACCATTCTTACCATTCCTAGCCTTTGCCTTTCAGATATTTTTCTTGGTCTAGCACATCTTTCCTGTACAAGAACTGTTCCCGTGGCCTTCCATTTTCTTGCTATATTTTTGACTGTGTAGATAGAGACTTTAAACCTTTGGGATAGCTTATTGCATCCTTGTTCTAATTCATGTTGGTGAATTATCCTAGATTTTAGGTCATTAGGAAGGGTCCCATGTTGCTACTTTCAGATTCACAATAAGGAGAAGCATAAGTAGCAATCAGCTATATAAATATCCTTTTTTCATTATTGGTTGCACCCGTGTTCAAATTGTAAAGGTTCACTGAATCAATATATATATATTTTTTTTGTAATCAATCAGCATTAAGTGACTACAGGTTTTGAAATCCACCCAAAAGAGAGGGTGCCCAGACTTTTTCATAGCCTATTATTTATTTTCAGTTTAATTTCACACATCTCAATACTTCTACACTATGTATTTCTGTCTGAAAAACATGACATAATCTAGCTTTCACAAGAAATCGAATAGCATTTCACTGCAATCTTCTCTTATAAAGAAAGATCACATAACTATGCAACCACAGAGGGGTGCCCAAATTTTTGCATAAAACTGTATATGTGAAATCCAAACATAAATGTATGTCATATATGTAATTTGCATATATTGCCATATATCAGATTTCTGTTGACAGAATCCATGTGTTTGTACATACAACAAAAATGCTTAAAGTTCAACTCTAAAGCAGCTTCAAGGCTATAGCCTTCAGCACAGTCACAGTCCATTTCTTCCAATACAACACCCTTGTGTGACATTATGCCTTTAGCAGTGTAAAACAGACTCTGTGTGTTTGGGAAAGTGGTCAAAATGTCACCAGATCAATGAATGTTGGCTCCTCTAATGCCCCATACCATTACAAGCTTTCACAACTTGACTTGCCCTCAAGCTTTTACCTACACGAGCTACTTACTTTTTCCTTTTTCTTTAAGCTCATCCCAGATATGTTCGTCCCATGAGATCTTCTGTAGAATCACACCTCTCAGTCATGTGTTTTGCCTAAAGCATGAGCAAAGTTCACTAGAATTTCTTAAACTGGACTTCATCAAATAAACATGCTTGTAAAAGTGCTGATGTGCCTTCTGCGATTTTTCCTCTCCTTGAGTCTCCTCTTTTTCTCTCTGCAGGTGTATGAACGTGGAACTAATGTTGAGCAGTTTGTTACCCGCTTCCTCTTGAAGGAATCAGCCAATCAGATCCAGTCTCTGCTGAGCTCTGTAGAAAGTGCTGTCGATGCCATTGATGAGCAGCATTCTTCAGTGGGGTGAGAAACTATATCATGACCCGAATCATCTTCTAGTACACCAAGAACATGTTGGGCTCTATTTTAATGATCTAGGTGCCGAGTCTAAAGCGCATGACGCAAAAGTATTTCCCATTTCCTTTAAGAGTCAGTTGTATATCGCTATGGCGCATTTGCTATTTACATTGCATACTTTGTAAGTGGAAAAAACGAAATAGGATAAAGACTGAGCCTCCTCCATTTAGCCTCTTTACTTTCTCTTTTTTTTTTTCACTCTTTACTTAACTCATTTACTTCACTTTACTCCACTAAAGACATCCATTAGCCTGCATATATATTTAATTTCGTTTGTTAAGCGCAAAGATTTGTTTCAAAACCATTTCTAAATTCAGGTCTAATTTCCAGCAACGAATAATTGAACAATAATACCAAATTGTGGTCAAGTTATATCCGAACACACATCCTATTCTTATGCCTCATTTTGTGACGCATACGTACGTCTCCAAAACCCGACAGGTGGACAAATCTATGCTTGTTTTTATTAAAACAAATATCAATATGTATATAGTAAATAATACTGCAAATAATAATAATAACATTTTATAAATTCAAATTTTCATGAATAAACTGAAAAATCCTCCCCTGAGGTGAAGAAAGCATGGATGCAGTGGTTTTTAGGGGTGTCAAGATTAATTGTTTCTTTGGTGCACCGCGATGCAGTTGTGGACATTTTGGTATCGTTTTAGTAATAATCATATCCGGTTATTACGTACTGAGGTCATTTATCTCACATGAGCTGTATTGCGGTAGCTTACTATGGTGAAGGAGGCGAGCTTGAGTATTAAAACTCTGAACAATTCGGGATATTTATATTTGTTTACTTACTATAAATGCTCATGTTGTTCTGTGTATTTACTTTTTAAAGGTACAGTTCATATATCTGTTTGTACTAAAGAAAAACATTTTATTACAAACAATATATAAATATATTTATACATTTTAATACAATTGCTGTGCTGTGAAGGAAAACATAAAATTGTGAATGGAAAGTATCGTCAATGCACCGAGATATCAAATTGAACCAAGTCGATGGCATGATAGCTGTAACCAAACCGAACCATGAGACCAGTGTAGGTTCACACCTCTAGTGGTTTTTATATTTCTGTAGAAAATAATAATTTTTGTAACATTTTAATTCTTAATTTGTTTCTCATATACTGTATATATATATATAAAGGTATTTGTGTATTGCTGTATGGCCTTTGTGTATTAAAGGTGCAGTGAGTGATCTGCCAAAATGCTAACGGCGTTATCATATTATGTTTGGACGGCAGGAAGGAACTGTGATTCAAAACCACGCCTCCTGAAATCGCGAACGTGCGCACCGCGTCACAACAGTGGATAACCCACTAGTTCATGTCATTCGCCAGTTAGAAATGTAACAGTTAGTTAGTGTTTGGACAGCGGCATGTAGGAATTACACTTATTACTAAGCCATACTTACATGCCATTTCAGAGCGAATATTCAGAGTAGCATGGTAAACAGTATAAAAAGGCTGTCATTGTTCAAAAATAAACCAATATAAATAAAAATAAAGCTCAATAAAGCAGGTTAGGTGGAATAGTGCTGTTCACTGATGTTTTGATGTTAAACTAAATAAAAATCTACATCATCGATGCTGTCAAAGGTCCCTTGTAAAACTGAAAATAGTCACATCAATTTTTCGACGAAGGATTTCATTGGCTGAACAAAACGTCTGTGCATATAAGCCATTAATAACACAACACAATCTAACAATAAACTTAGCCGGACCAAAATATTTTTAAAACAGAACATTACCTGTCTAACAGAAATACTTCAGCCATGGTGTCGTCCTTCCTCCAACGTGCAAAAGGATTTTGAAAAGTTTCCATTCAGCATTTGATTTCACCGCAACTGTGATTGTCTCGTTTGCACATGTCGTGAACGTGTGGCGCTCATGCAGGCGGCAAGCGCAAATGGCGGATCTGCATGAACAAAAATTTGCAGACAGACAGTTTGAGCTACTTATCGGAATTATGGGAGATATCGGCCTAACAATATTTTATTGGATAAACATTTATTAGTTTTATGCTTTACCCAGAATATAAAAATACTAGTGCTGTCAATCGATTTAAAAAAATACTAATTAATCACACTTTTTTTGGAAAATTAATAGCATTTAAAAGACTGAAACTTGTAATTTTGGCTATTCAAATGTAAAATTAATATAAAAATTTCTTCATGTAAACAACAAACCCACAATAAATCCTATCTTGACAGCCACATTTATTACAGAAATTAAAACAGTCATGTTAGTGCCATTTGAATTTCAAAACAATCAATGCCAATAAAGAAAAAAAATGATTTCCAAGTATGACTCTAAGTGGACTGCAAAAAATGCCAAAACACAGGCATTGCAGATATGGAAAATGGAAATTTATAATAATAATAATAAAGTATTGAATAAAAACAGTTGCACTCATTGTAAAGTTGCATTGCTGTGAGTTGAGAACATTAATTATAAACTAGAAACAACTTTGCTCAGTCCTTTACATTCATCTTGTTGCTAAGACTACGAGTATCCCGCAAATGCACTCTCCACCGCATCCCTCCTAGCTCTTCAGGTACGTCTCGCGTGCATACGCCCCTACTCAGATACGTCGCTCACTCAACCCCTGACACCCCTCAACAGGCCTGACACAGACACACACACACACACACACACACACACACAAAGACAGACACACACACAACGCGCTGGAGCGACTCCCTTCAGATTTAACACGCATGATCGCGTTCATCAAATTTGCCTAAACTAAGCGTTCTTAAGTATGGCTGTATTTCACAAGGATTCTGACACAGCAACGCGAAGCATACGCTTTTGTTGCGTTTACTGAGTGTTATGTATTTGTGTTTTTTGTGCTCTGTTTTCTCTGTGTTTTTTCCCTCTCTCTCTCTCTCTCTCTCTCTCTCTCGCTCTGTTCTCCCGTATCTGCTCTCATGTATTCTCAGGTTCTGTTCATTGGTCCATTCAGCTGTCAGTCATTCCTCCCCGGTTACGTCACTCTTACGTCACATCCAATAAGCAAAGACCTCCCGTGTTAAAAGCGCGCGCCAGACCACTCGCTCTTTCTTGCTTTCTTGCTTGCATTTTCTCTTTTGCTGTTTGTCGCTTGTTTGTATTTACCGCGTGCGTTTAGAAATTACCCCGTCTAACTGTGTTTTGTTGTTGCTTGTTTCTGTGTGCACGTTATCCGTCCGTTATTCGTACATTAGTTTATCGTTGTTTACGAGGCTTGGACGAAGCGGACAGGTAAGAAGGTCACGTGACATACATTTCGCAACACTCAGGACTGCTCTGCTGTCTAGTACACTAGGTTAGGGGCGAGCGCCACTCCTTGTACTTTTTGGATAGATAGATAGATAGAGTAGATAGTTAGGACTCGGAAGATCTTCGTGTGTTAATTATACTGTTTTCACATAGTTAGTTAGCTAGATGCTTCTGGGAAGTTAGATTTAGTTTGGGTTTTGTTCTTTTCATTTCTTTAGCGCCGCCCGCGTCCCTTCTGCCAGCTCTCTTGTTTTCCCCGTCTTTATTTGTTTCAGTGTTGTACATATTGTAAATAGTATATTTTTGCTTTACTTACTTTTTCTTTATTTTTGATTAATTCATTGTTGTTGTTCACTTTGGGATTGTAAATAAAAGCACACATTTTTTTGGCATTACTTTGGTTGTCTTTCCACTCATTCACTGTTTATATAAATATATTTTAATTAAATAAATGTCAAACCCCACACCCTAGACTAACATCAGGGGTTTGTAACATTTTTGGGGGCTCGTCCAGGATCATTTAACCCATTTTTAAACAATTAAAATTATTTGTATTTATAGTTTGTTTGAGTGTGAAAGCAACCTGCTAATTTACAAAGGCCCACTGTAGGCCCGACACGCGGAACGCGCTGCTCAGGTAAACACGCGCACACACACACACACACTTCTCTCTGTGTTGTTTCTGGTATAAGTAAATAAACAGGATGGCATTGTTTGATTTACAGACATTTATTAATAATCCAACCGTAGAACAATTCGACCGCTGTAGAAAAGATGATTTAATACAGATAGCGGACCATTTCAAAATTTCAGTGGTAAAACAAGCTCTTAAGAAAAATATTAAGAGTGCCTTATACGAAAGGTTGGTTGAATTAAAGGTTCTCATAATGCCTGTTGTGGAAGAGGAAGAAACCGAGTTTCTTGGTGCTGGCGCGCAAAGCTCAAGTGCAGATGAGCCGGATGAAGGGCGAAATGAAAGCGGTGCTGCGGCTGCGCTCACTGAAGGCAAGCCAACACTGTCACCTTTCGATCCGTTTTCCCCCGTTTATTCTGGGTCTAAAGAGGATGGACGTTTAAAAGTCCGCCTGGCCCGTTTACAGTTTGAGGCACAGGAAAGGGCACAAGCGCGTCAGGCTGAGATGGAACTGAGACTCGAAATCCGCAGGCTTGAAGTTACGGCCGAAAAAGAGGTGAAGCTGCGTCAGCTGGAGTTGGAGGCTTTAAAAACTCCTCCTAAAGTGGCTGCGCAGTCCACCCGTGCTGAGACCTCTGTTGCTCCGGTGGGCGATCCAACCTCAACCACCTTCGATATAAGCAAATATGTATCTCTCGTACCAATATTTAGGGAATCCGAAGTCGATACATATTTTAGCGCTTTCGAGCGCATAGCGGCTTCTTTTCGCTGGCCTAAAGATTCATGGTCCCTTCTTCTCCAGTGCAAATTGGTTGGAAAGGCACAGGAGGTTTTTGCTACACTGTCCTTAGAGGACAGCCTTAATTATGATACTGCTAAATCAGCAATCCTCCGTGCTTATGAACTCGTACCTGAAGCATACAGACAGAAATTTAGAAATCACAAAAAGCTTTCTAGCCAGACGTTTGTTGAGTACGCGCGAGAAAAAGGCGTTCTTTTTGATAAATGGTGTAATGCAAGTAAGGCAACTGACTTTAATTCGTTAAGAGAATTAATTTTGCTTGAAGAATTTAAAGATAGATTGCCTGAACGTGTAGTGGTATACCTTAACGAACAAAAAGTTATGTCGTTGTCACAGGCAGCTGTGTTGGCAGATGAGTTTGTGCTTACGCACAAAAATGTGTTCTATCCAGTCCGATCGGATAAAAATCCCACTGTTCAGTCTGTGAATTTTCCACGTATTCCGACTGCTACTTCCCGACCTAAAGAGGCAATAGAGTGTTACTACTGCCATAAGAAAGGGCACAAATTATCTGAATGTTCCACGCTGAAGCGAAAAAATCCGCAACAGCCATCTAAAAGTGTTGGTTTTGCAAAATCTATTTTAACTAACAGCAATGATGAGAGCACTGATCCGAGCTACACACCATTCTTGCTCAGGGGTCTAATTTCATTATCTGGCAACCCTGAAGATCAGTGTGAGATTGTACTGCTGCGTGATACAGGCGCTTCTCACTCGTTTATGGTAGAAAATGCATTATCTCTGCCTGAACACTCATCTTGTGGATCTAATATTTTAGTCCAAGGCATTGAGATGGGTTTTGTAAATGTGCCACTATATCGCGTTCATTTACAGTGCGATTTGTTCACTGGGTTTGTGTCAGTCGGCATTCGTCCTTCTCTTCCTGTTAAAGGAGTTTCATTTATTCTAGGTAATGATTTGGCCGGTGGTAAAGTAATGCCTATTTTAGAAGTTACTGATCACCCCAATCTTACCTATTGTCCAAACGAGTTATCAGTAAATCACCCAGATATTTTCCCAGCGTGCGTAATGACGCGCGCCATGTCACTGAAAGATGATTCAGTTGATTTATCAAACTCTTTTATTGCGCCAGTATTTTCTGAGAATGTAGTTTCTCCTCCAGACAAAACAGCTACACAGAAACAACAGGAAAAATCAGAATATTTTAATTTTGATGGTGATGCTCTGAGTTTGCCCGTTACTCGTCAGCAGATTATTGCTGCGCAGAAAGATGATGATTCTTTGGTAAAGTGCTTCGACTCCGTTGTTGATTCAGATCAGATTGATAAAAAGCAAATTGCGTATTTCGTTGAAAATGGCTTGTTGATGCGCAAGTGGTGCTCTAATATTGAGACTGATGCTGATTGGAATAATGTCTATCAAATTGTCGTTCCCTCCGCTTACCGCCAACATGTATTATGTCTAGCACACGATCATGTGATGTCAGGTCATTTAGGTATCACGAAAACATACAATCGGATACTTAAACATTTCTTTTGGCCTTGTTTAAAGAAGGACGTCGTGCAGTTTTGTCGCACCTGCCATACGTGCCAATGCATGGGGAAGCCAAACCAGGTAATTCCACCTGCTCCTCTTTTTCCTATCCCAGTCATAGGAGAGCCATTTGAACATGTAATTATTGATTGTGTGGGTCCATTACCTAAAACCAAAACAGGTAATCAGTTTTTACTTACAATAATGTGTACTGCTACTCGATTTCCCGAGGCAATACCGCTCCGCAGAATTACAGCTCCTCTTATAATCAAATCATTGATTAAATTTTTCTCCACATTCGGCTTACCAAAAATCATACAAACTGACCAAGGATCAAATTTTATGTCAAAAATGTTTGCTCAAGTTCTAAAATCATTGTCTATCACCCACCGAGTATCAAGTGCTTATCACCCACAAAGTCAAGGTGCTCTCGAGCGATTTCACCAGACGCTCAAGTCTATGTTAAAGAAATACTGTGCGGATACCTGCAAAGACTGGGATGAGGGCGTTCCATTGGTACTATTAGCGGTGAGAGAAACTATCCAAGAGTCTCTCGGGTTTAGCCCCGCTCAGCTTGTATTCGGTCACGATTTGCGAACTCCTCTTAAACTTCTGAAAGAGAACATTTTGGAAATTAAGGAAAGTCCAAAAATGAATGTTCTTAGTTATGTAAGCCGTTTCAGAGAACGTTTACATGATGCCTGTAAATTGGCAAAAGAATCACTTAAAGCTGCGCAAAATGTCATGAAGCATCAGTATGACACCCGAGCAGTCGCGCGCTCTTTTCAGCCCGGCGATCAGGTGCTCGTACTGTTGCCAATGCCTGGTTCTGCTCTCTCTGCCCGCTTTTCTGGACCCTATGTGGTGCAGAAAAAGTTAAGCGAGACAGATTACGTAATTGAAACACCTGATAGAAAACGCAAATCGCGCGTATGTCATGTTAACATGTTAAAAACGTACCATGTTAAAGAGAAAACTCAGATCACCACACCTGTTCTTCCTGCTGTTGCAGTTGTGAGCGATGTTACGCATTCTGAAGCTGATGATGATGGCCTGGTGTTACGCAATGCTCCTCAGCAGTGCGCTCGTTTAACTAATTCAGAGATGCTGAAAAATTTGAATTCACATCTCACGTATTTATCAGATTCACAAAGGCAAGATATCATTCATTTAATTCAGAAATTCCCCAATCTTTTCAGTGACACTCCAACGCAAACATCCGTAATTAAACATGACATCAATATTCAAAATTCTTCCCCAATAAAGCAACATCCTTACCGTGTGAACGCACACAAGCGTGCTATTATGAGGAAGGAGGTTGAATATTTGATGGAAAATGGTCTTGCAGTTCCTAGTTGCAGTCCATGGAGTTCACCGTGCGTTCTGGTACCCAAACCAGAAGGAAACATTTAGATTCTGCACAGATTACCGTAAGGTTAATGCTGTCACTGTCCCAGATTGCTACCCTTTACCCCGTATGGAAGATTGTATTGACAACCTTGGTTCAGCTAGTTTTGTCACTAAACTTGATTTGTTAAAGGGCTACTGGCAAATTAAATTAACTCCGCAAGCTTCTGCTATCTCAGCCTTCGTTACACCAGATCACTTCATGCAATATTCAGTTATGGCCTTCGGATTGCGAAACGCACCTGCCACATTTCAAAGATTAATTAATACGGTTTTATTCGGCGTTCCAAATTGTAACGCATATTTGGATGACTTAGTGGTTTATTCATCTGAATGGTCTGAACACATTTCTTTGCTGCACACTGTTTTTGAAAAACTGTCCAACGCCACATTAACATTAAATCTGGCAAAATGTGAATTTGCTAGGGCGACCGTCACATACCTTGGTAAGGAAGTTGGTCAAGGTCAAGTTCGGCCAGTCGCTGCGAAAGTCTCCGCCATAGCCGAATTTCCCGTACCTAAAACCAGGCGAGAGTTGCGCCGGTTTTTGGGTATGTCGGGGTACTATCGGAGTTTCTGCCGAAACTTTTCCAGTGTGGTTTCACCCCTAACGAATTTACTTAGTCCTTCTCAGCAATTTGTTTGGTCAGCTGAGTGTCAGCATGCTTTTGAGAGCATAAAAGCTTTGCTCTGCTGCGCTCCTGTACTCGCGGCCCCAGATTTCACCACTCCTTTTAAACTGGAAGTAGACGCGAGTGCTCTAGGTGCTGGCGCGGTACTTATCCAAGAGGACCGTGATGGCATCGAGCACCCTGTTTGTTATTTTTCCAGAAAATTCAACAAACACCAAATTAATTACTCCACTATCGAAAAAGAAGCACTTGCATTACTATTGGCATTACAATACTTTGAAGTTTACCTTGGTTCCAGTTCGTTTCCAATCATGGTTTACACCGATCACAATCCGTTAGTTTTTCTCTCCCGAATGTACAATCAAAATCAGCGCCTCATGCGCTGGGCTTTGATTGTACAGAATTACAACCTGGAAATCCGTCACAAGAAAGGCACCGACAATATAGTGGCCGATGCTCTTTCCAGGTGTGTGTAGTTGGTCGTAATTAAACCGCATGGTTTGTTTTGCGAGTTTTTTTTACTATTTCACAATTTTTTTTTAACAAACAATATTATATGTTTGTTCTCATGGGTGGGAGTGTTATGTATTTGTGTTTTTTGTGCTCTGTTTTCTCTGTGTTTTTCCCTCTCTCTCTCTCTCTCTCTCGCTCTGTTCTCCCGTATCTGCTCTCATGTATTCTCAGGTTCTGTTCATTGGTCCATTCAGCTGTCAGTCATTCCTCCCCGGTTACGTCACTCTTACGTCACATCCAATAAGCAAAGACCTCCCGTGTTAAAAGCGCGCGCCAGACCACTCGCTCTTTCTTGCTTTCTTGCTTGCATTTTCTCTTTTGCTGTTTGTCGCTTGTTTGTATTTACCGCGTGCGTTTAGAAATTACCCCGTCTAACTGTGTTTTGTTGTTGCTTGTTTCTGTGTGCACGTTATCCGTCCGTTATTCGTACATTAGTTTATCGTTGTTTACGAGGCTTGGACGAAGCGGACAGGTAAGAAGGTCACGTGACATACATTTCGCAACACTCAGGACTGCTCTGCTGTCTAGTACACTAGGTTAGGGGCGAGCGCCACTCCTTGTACTTTTTGGATAGATAGATAGAGTAGATAGTTAGGACTCGGAAGATCTTCGTGTGTTAATTATACTGTTTTCACATAGTTAGTTAGCTAGATGCTTCTGGGAAGTTAGATTTAGTTTGGGTTTTGTTCTTTTCATTTCTTTAGCGCCGCCCGCGTCCCTTCTGCCAGCTCTCTTGTTTTCCCCGTCTTTATTTGTTTCAGTGTTGTACATATTGTAAATAGTATATTTTTGCTTTACTTACTTTTTCTTTATTTTTGATTAATTCGTTGTTGTTGTTCACTTTGGGATTGTAAATAAAAGCACACATTTTTTTGGCATTACTTTGGTTGTCTTTCCACTCATTCACTGTTTATATAAATATATTTTAATTAAATAAATGTCAAACCCCACACCCTAGACTAACATCAGGGGTTTGTAACACTGAGGAAACACATTAAACTTAATGAAACATTGGAGGGCTCATGCTAAAAGACAGAGTCTTTGACAGCTCGCAACTTCACCAGAGACTTTCTGAGTACATTTACATAAGACACCAATTCTCAGATTTTAATATGATTAAGATAATACTCTAATTAAGAGTCGACCATGTAAGCAGCGATTTCATTGCCTCAAAGGAACACCGTGTCACGAAATGCGAAGGTTTTTCTTTCCGTTCACCATGCGGTATCAAATTAATTACATTAAAACAGACGTCGAAAGTTAAAAATGAAACACCCGAAATTGCATGAAACTCTGGAGAGCCTGGTGATGAGACATTAATTGTTTTAAACTGAAACTTGCCTTCAAAAAGTGCTGCCTTAACCTTATCCATATTTATTTGCATGTTGAACACACGTCCACCACAACAGGAAGTAAAAAAAAACCTGCAACTGCATTAATTGCATAAATTTTTTTAGCATGTTAATTATTTCAAATTAATCGCATGCGTTAACGCACTAATTTTGACAGCACTGAAAAATACATAAAGACACATTTAGATCATTTCCTTTAATAATTACTATTGGACTGTGAAGAGACTTTCAACCAGCACAACAAAAATGTTTCTGAAGAAAATCACCCACTGCACCTTTAAGCAATTTGTAAGAGTTTGGACCTGCATAGGTGCATAACTAATATGCTCTGCGCTGGACTTTAGACCAGCTTTTAGTTGGTCAACTGCACAGTCTATTTTAGTTCCTCGAAATAGCAACGCACCAACAATGCGCCTTGACACACCTTTTTTATAGACCAGCACACCCATGAGTCCACAAAGTGGCTCAAATGGATTTGCTATTTAAACAACGAGGTGGAAAACATGAATTATAGTTGCCTGGTCTGAAAATAGAAAATCACGCCAAATACAGTAGGTGAGAGTTCAAAGTGGCTATTAACGCCGCGGCTGGTACCGCCGCCATTTGAAATAGGTGCCGCTCTGTTTTTAGTGTATGACCGCAGTTTGTGAATGAGCCACCAGGGGGAGCAAAGGGACGGGATGCGAACGGACAGAAATAGCCCATACAGCTACTGTGCTTGTAAATGATATCAAACAATAAGTCAAAGCATTCCTTCATTCCTTCATTAATCATTTAAAATTTGTTAACACGCTTTATTGTAAACTTTTTAAGTGCAAAGAGGATTCGTTTTGGAAAATAGAATTGAAGAAGTAAAAGACAACAAAAATGAAAGCACAAACAATTAGTACAAATAAGTAGTCTTAAATAAATAAATAAATAAATAAATAAAGCAGCCTAAATATAGAAAGATGTTCAGTGTTTGCTATTTTGATAGGACTAAGACAAGACATTTTCATTTATGTTTTATTTCTGTTTTTATTTCCATTTTCGTTGTTGATTATATTTTACTATCTCATTTATGTCTCAACAATTGTACATAAACGAATAATAAACGAATAATGAAAATAAATGAATAATGAAAATAGGCCTAAATAAATTATTCATTTAAAGACATTGCCGTACAGTACGTGAAACACTGAGAAAAATAAATTGACCTACCTTAAGCAGATCACTAAAAGTATAATAAAATTATTTTTGCTGCAGGACATAAATTAAGTCTTGCAGGTTTATTTTTAATAATTTAGTTTCAGTTCTGTTCAGTTTTTTTTTTTTTCAAAACGTCAATGTTCTCCTTTAAAGTAGCTATAACTGTTGTTTTGTTTTTTTGTTTTTTTTTTACTTATGGCTCAGTATGTTTTGTATTTTAACTTCATATTCAGTCACCTTGCAAATGTGTGTGAAATATAATGCCGCATAACCGCGGAAAAAGAAGAAAAAGCTGTCAAAGGTTAGAGCTAATTCATCAAAATAAGCTATATTAAAATACAGCATTTATGTTAATACAGGCAGAGTGTGAACAAACTCAAGGCTAAGATATGCGCTTGCCTTTTAATGCATTTGCGGCCTTTTTATAGGCTACAGGCAACTATGTATAATAATGTTTTTTTTTTGTTTTTTTTTTGTATGGTAAAGGACAATGCACATTATGTTATTGATGTAAACTTAGGCTAAAACTTACCATTGATAAACGTGACCTACCTCAAGCAGATCACTTAAAGTATAAAAAAATAAAGTAGGCTATATATATATATATATTCTTAATAAACTTCACAGCCACAAATATAAAAAACACAACTTGAATTAA